CAATGTCGCCAGCAGGTTACTGAAGGCGGCGCCATCTATTTTTCAGTATTATTGTCACTCCATCACCTTTTCGATTGTATTTTTTTGCACAGCTGGGATATAATCGAATTGAAGTTACAGATTCCCCAAATTCTGAAACAGCCAAGGATTCTTTTTCGTCTGACACATCTGGTATGGCTTGTAAGCGCTGTTTAAACAACGATCTCACCATTATACTAAATTATAATTGTTTCTTAAAAATAAACAAAATTCAAAATGTCTGTTTCTAACGCTCAGTAAATAGTTGATGCTGTTGGGAGCTGATGTTTGTATGATCATCAAACAAAAGTTGCTGGCAGTGTTGCCAAAATGGTACTGAAGGCGGCGCCATCTGTTTTTTAGTATGACAGCCATGCAATAAAATATCCGATTGTTTTGAATCCCGCGATGCTGTTAGACGGAAAACTTCATTCATAATGAATAAAACTCCTTCGGAATAAAGCATTCTACCAGAAAAGTGCAGTTATACTAAAACAGCTAAGCGAATTGGCATCTAAACGGATTGTACCGTAGTAAACTAATTTTAATTTAGAAATTTGGTCGTTACCTTACCCCACCTAATACTAATAATTGAACAAGATTTGTAGTACAAGTGATGATCAATATACTATATTAGTTAAAGCACGATAAAGCTAAAAGTATGGCACAGAAGGATGCCTTAATGTAAACAAAGAAAATAGTTTTTCTCCTTTAAATTATGCTGAACTGAATATTTGAGTAGTCCACTTGCAAACAGCGTTATGTGATTTTATAATAGAAAGCCATAAATTTGAAAAAACGACTACGACAACAAGTAGCATTTAAATCGAATCTTTTTTATTATTACCTGAAAATTTTTATAAATACGAGCCTTATAAAATTATAACATAACATACCATGACATAAGATAACATTAACAGTCTACACGACNACCTGAAAATTTTGATAAATACGAGCCTTATAAAATTATAACATAACATACCATGACATAAGATAACATTAACAGTCTACACGACCTAAAGCAGTTTTCTAGGTTCTTTTGAGAGTATATAAATAAGTATGATAGCGACTTTTGGAAGAAGAGTTAACATTTTATGCTATTTTTTCAGAATATAAAAAGATTTTGCACTGTGTTGTTAGTGGACATGAAACTACTTTAAATACTGGTACGTAATCCACCGAAAACTAAAAATCTAAAAATTTTACATAGCGCACTTTGCAAGTGTATTACTGTTTTATATTTTTATTTGTTTACCCCGAACGACGTCGGGTGCTCTGCTAGTATCATATAAATTGTCATAGGGACAATTTATGATTTGTCACACGCACACGTACTAAAGGGGATTTAAATGAGGATTTTAAAAAACAGGGGATTTCAATAAGCTGTAATAAAAACTTACTAGTTGGCACTAATTTTACGTTCGCATACTTTTTGTGATATATTTCAAATCTTTTCTGCAAGTTGCTGCTGGATAATTGTCACTAGAGATCTTTTCGAAGAGACGTTAGTCTTGATGACAGGAAAATTACGAAATTCAAATTGTCTGTTGCTAGCGCTTAGAAAATAGATGACGCTGGTAACGGTTGATGGAATGGCAGTTACCAGCAGCTTACTCCAGGCGGCGCCATCTGATTTTCAATATTGCACTCACACAAACTATGCTAACTTCCAGGCCAGCGTGGTCAAAAACGTACATAAGGAAATTATTCTATTCCCTTGTCAAATCAAGCCGTACCACAGGAAATTGGTTTTACGAAATTAAAGCTTCAAGGTGTGTTCGTACAGAGATTAATCGAACAATTTATACTGAGAGAGAAGAAATATACTCATAGATATGTTCGAAGACAACGCAAATTGCTATTAATAATTATTATCCAAATTTTCGTGGTTTGCTTTGGATGTTACATATATTCGATTGAATCATTTCAAAGGGGGCTGTTTGGGTAATTTATTTTTAGCATAAATTTAAAAAACGGTAATACATTGGATCCTTGGCTAAAAACTTCTGGGGTAAAACTGTCCCCCTACGTCTCCTTTCTTGGCTATTTAAAGCCAAAGGGTAAGCTCCCTCAATAGGGATTTCCAGCATATGCTAAAATTATTAAAAAGCTATCGGTCTGACATTTGATCAGATAATAATAACGAGACTATCTGAAATCCAAACGTTCATAAAAAAACCGGGTGCTTTTTAAAAAAATAACAATATTCTGATCCGATTCCACTGGCGGGCACGACCTTGAAAACACAACTTTGTTCAAAACTTTCTTTCTGGAAAATAATAATTTATTTATTGTATTTATTTATCGTTTAAACACGATCTAGTGATTATGCTAATTTATAATTGTTTCTTAAAAATGCTTGATTCGGATCCACGGATGTCTAAAATTCCGCGTTCGCAACATCCCTACGCTCAGTAAATAGATGACGCTGTCGAGAGCTGACGCTTGTATAATAATGAAACAAAGGTTGCTCTCAGTGTTGCCATCTGTTTTTTTAGCAGCAATTCAATAAAATATCCTATTGTATTCTAGCGTTACCCCATATTATGGAAATTTTGCTATTCGGGTGTTAATTCAAGTCACTGTACCACAGCAAATTGGTGTTTACGATATTAAAGGTACTAAGGCGTGTTCGTGCAGAGCTTGATCAAACAATTTATACTACGCTGTCCGTTCGAAGACAATTCAAATTGCAACAAATATAGATAAATAATAATTTACATCGAAGGACACGCTCCACAATATTCTTTACAAATAAAGTTTGAAACATGATACAATAATTTTTAGAAGGTAGTTTCACTTCTTCTTCTTATCCGCCATGTTAGCTATCTGACAGAAAACGTGTTTCGTATTTTTTGTTGTACCAACTTTTTCAAAAAAAAAAACCAGCTTTTGACGTTGGAAAAATAAAACAAAGAAAAGCCAAACATATAAGTAGAGAAATTTTCGAATATTTTGTAATAATTTTCTTCATAAAAAATTAACTGCTGCTTTCGTGGATATTGCAACACACGGAATAGATGTAAGGACACAGCAATAGGAGCCACCGCACACCACAGACTTTATCGGCCGCCTATTTAAATGATATGGCTCGCTTGAAATATGTACATGAAGATGTATGGAGGTGCGCACATTACACCAGCTTAATCGCTCTGACCAATAAGTTGTGGTGCAGTGGAAAGACTAGCGAGCACATCTAAATTGGCGGCCGATAAAGTCCGTGGTGTGCGATGGATGTAATCCATTATAAACAAGAAATATCGCTGTTATATTTTCATTTTTATGATTTTTATTCATGTGATTAGCAGTGGCAAAAATGTATGTATAAAATACGTATATTTGTATTAAAAATTAAGTGATCAGTTATGAAAAATATGAATCTTTACATGTTCTGTTAAAAAATATCTAAAATAACCAGCGATAATCCTCAAGTTCTATATCGTAGCAGTGGCCACATTTCGTGTTTGTCACAGACACGGTTTATGTCAAAAATTTTTAAGTGAAACTACCTTCTAAAAATTATTGTATCATGGTTTGAAAGCTAAATAGCTACGTATACACTGTCATCCTCATAACGTATACATTGTGTTTGGTATAACGTATACGTTGTGTTGGGTATACCGTTTACATTGGGTTTTTAGAAAACATATATGTGAATAAATTTTCATTCGTATAACGAATTAGTAGTTTTTGATATAACGTGCGCGTTGTTTAAGTTACAGATTCCCCAAATTCTGAAACAGCCAAAGGAATGAGAAAGAAGAATTCTTTTTCGTCTGACACATCTGGTATGGCTTGTAAGCGCTGTTTAAACCTCTAGTAGGCTGAACCGCCTTCAGACGGTCGTTAACTAAACACCTTTATCGTGCACCTATAATAATTTTTTTCTATATTCGTAAGGCACGATCTTTAGACAAAAATCGTACCCTTACGGCGAAGTAAATTTGAATCCGTTATGTCAATCCGTTTTATTTTAATCGGCAGTTGTATTACAGATTGTGAAAGACACGGTTAAAATTAATTATTTCTTGCTATTTAGTAATTTCGTAATTAAAGAAATTTTTTCTTTTGAAAATTTCTTGATATAAAAATATTCGGTGGATTTCATAGTTAGATGCACCGTATTTTAATATAAGTTTTATAATTATGTCACCATTCGTCTACAGGCCGGCTTGCCGACATATAAAAACCCAGTTTGCATTTTTGTTGTTGTTGAACAAAATTCATCTCTAAAAATTAAAATTAACTAATAGTAAAATAAGAAATGTGATATAAAATAAAGCAAATGAAAATAAAATAAAGTAAAATTAAATATATAAATAAAATAAAATAAAAAAATATAAAATAAATAATAAAAACAAAAAATTTTTCGCAATCGCTCCAACCGAGTATCGAACCTGGCAGCTACAGGCTTACAGCTCGCAACTCTCACCACTCGGCTACCGCGTACGCGAAACTCGACTGCTTCGTTTGCTTACTTGTACAAAAGACTGGCCGTTTTTACCAGTGTTGTCATCCAAAATTCCCCGGATCCGAGTTAATTCCCCAAAATTTCGTGCATTTGTTCGGCTGCTTATGCTCATTTTAAAGTGGAAAATGCATGAATTAAAGCAAATTAAGGCTGGTTATGAAAATAATCGAGCCCGTTTGTCTACCGTATAACGCTCAGTAAATAGTTGATGCTGTTGGGAGCTGATGTTTGTATGATCATGAAACAAAAGTTGCTGGCAGTACTGCCAAAATGGTACTGAAGGCGGCGCCATCTGTTTTTTAGTATGACAGCCATTCAATAAAATATCCGATTGTTTTTAATCCCGCGATGCTGTTAAATGGTGTTCACATTGCACCATAAACTCGAGTTTGAGGTTTTGTGTTTATGAACAACTGTCAAGCGTTCACATTGGAGTGTTTCAGAAACCTAGAGTTTGATTTGACGTTTGTTTGTTGACATTTGCTTGTTTAATTTTTCTTGCTCACATCGTTCTTGTTTTTACCAAAATGTCTTCAAATATAAATATTATTTTGTTTATTGTGAAAATATATTTTACAACCATTCAAAAGTATGTAGAATTGGAAAATGCTTGCGCTGAAACCATTTCCCTTTAACGTGCACGAAGTGAGTTTTTATTGAATATGATGTGGTTTTGCTTGAATCAACAATGGATGATATTAACAATTTTGGAGAAACCGCATACTAAAATGCATTGGTAGACCAACATTTCCTAGTTCTTGTTATTCAATTGATTGCCAATGAAATGGGGAGGAGTTCTTTAGGAACAATTTTCGCATGAAGCGCAGTAGCTTCAACAAGCTATGCGGCCTTCTTTCATGTTTGGAAAGGAAAGATACAAATTTTCGGAAAGCAATTAGCCTTGAGAAGCGGGTAGCCATTGCTCTGTATGCCCTGGGATCATCTTCTGAGTACCGCAGTGTGGGTAATATGTTCGGAATTGCAAAATCGACTGTATGCTTAATCGTGATAGAGTTTTGCAAGCAAGCATGGATTGTATTACATCCTGTTTACCTTAATCACTTCCCTCTCAGTAGAGAAAAGATACGAGAGTGCATGTCTGGGTTCAACCAAATTGGGTTTCCTCAATGCATTGGTGCAATTGGTATGTTTTTATGGCGTAAATATATTTGTACGATTCACTCAATTGATTTTTCTCATTTAATTTTCTAAGATGGTTGTCACATAGAAATACATCCAAAACATGATGATTACTTCATTTACAAAGGGTGGTATTCCACCGTGCTTTTGGCTTTAGTTGACGCCAGGTAAATTTTCCTTCCTTTGAACTATATTTGTATGTCTGTATATTTTTAACGTAAATAAAACTACGCCTCTTTTGTAGATATCGTTTTCTTTATATTAATGTTGATAGTCCAGGAAAATGCAACGACTCATTCATTTACGAGAGGTCATTATTAAAGCAAGAGCTGCATAACTGTGCTTTGCTTAATAAAATGAGTATTCAATTGGAGTCAGTAAACATTCCGGTGTTAATACTAGGAGATTCTACATTTCGTCTATCCCCAAACTTAATGAAACCTTTTCCGTTTAGTCTTAACAACACCTCTGCACAAAAAAAATTCAACTATCAACTGTCTAAATGTCGCAGGGTAGTAGAAAATGCGTTTGGTCATTTAAAAGCACAGTAATGGGCTTAAAATTACCTTTATTTGCATATTGAACTTTTTTATATACATATATGTGTATACATATACCAATGTATGTGTGTTTATAGATTCCGCAGGGTTGGTAAAGGAATTGATAACAACATCCAAAATGCGAATGCAGTTATAAAGGCATGCTACACGTCACACAACTTTTTAATTGAGGAGAAAGATGACATGCCTACAATTTGGTTAAGCGAACAAACAAATATGGGCCGAAATACAAATTATCCAAATCACTCAACAA